TATATCAAAAATAGAAAAATAACATTTGTACAGTAATTGGCCAATGTGGCTGTAGCTAGGGGGAAAGTAATCAATAATAATAGTTCCAAGGTCAAAATAAAAGTTATGATAAGAGGAACACGGAAACGATTAGGTCACTTATTTAACAACTATCCAATAGGAATAGGCGTATTACATTTGTCCATAAATGGACCTCAGATTTATGATTCATAATTCGCCAGGGGATATAACACAGGGTATTTGGGGGCACTATCCTATCAGACAAAAATATTCCTTCTTTTAAGTTCTGTATATTTGCTGGTTTTAAACCAAGAATTTGATTTTCGAGAGTAACTTGAATTAAACAAACTACATATCAATCCAGGAAGTTAACTAATGCATAATATTCCTCCTATATAATACATACATTAATTATTAAGTTATTGATTTTATTTACCTATAAATGGTATTTATTGAATGAGTGCGTCCTGTTTTTGTCCGCCCTGCAAAAAAAAACTTGATCCGACATTAATATAGGCGACAATTATAAAATGTGAATGAATATTTATTGACTACGTGCTTAGTAGACTAACGTATCTATGTTCGTTCAAAAAGAAACTAAACAGATTTATCACCTGTCTAAATCACCGAACTATATTACTGTTTGAACTGGTTTCTAAAATAATCAATACGATTTACAGCTCAAAGGTTTTTGTCGATATTGTGTTCTCTGAGGTAGATGGTTTTATTGTAAATCATCGAAGAATGAAAATTTGAACTTGCTTTTTAACTCGGGATTCAGAGGAAGAGAGAAAATGAATCAAACGACTTCACTGTGACCACATCACTCAATGTCTCCAACAATTGATTACGAGTATGTTATGGATTTCAACCACGAAGTTTCACTTATATTACTTACAGAACCATTTACTGACTTCATGGATTAATGCCATGTCAAGATCTGTTCATTTCTAGTTTTAATGGTAGTTGAGGAAGAGTAACACATAACCACTATAATCTATGGACGATATCTCTAATAATAGACTTATATAACGTTGTGTGCCTACCTCAGTATTACTTACTTAGTGGTTTAACTATTTGTGAGAAATATGTCGAAGATACTTATAATCAAATACTTACAGCCTAATGGCGTCTTCTTATTTCATAGGCCATTTTTTGAAGCCGCACAGTAATAAAGAGCATCCCACTAGGTAGTGAGCACAATTATCCCTTAGTTGATGAACAGACATTTAGCCTAAACCGTTTGTTAACAAAAGCTAGAAGAGCTTTTTTATTCTTGTAGAGATGTGGGCAGAAGCCTACTCACTGGGAATAATAACGCACCCGAGATAAGTAAAGATGACCAACGTACCAAACCACTAAACTCCCCATGGTCAATGATTTTAAACTTCGTCCATATTACAGGATAATCTAAACAAACAGCATTCTTGAGACGGGGTAAACAAATGAAAAAGTGGAACTTCAGAAGCTAAAGTGACAATACTAGTTAATGTGAAATTTCTAATTCATACTGTGGTGTGGTCTACTTATACCCATATAAGTAGTATATGGTGTGGGTCAGACATAGAATGTATTTTGGCAGAAGACCGATGAGGAAAGAACTGTAATGAAGCGCAATCGTTTGGAAAATGCATGAGCAGTAGAATTAGAGAAGAAACAGTGAAGATTAAAACAATTGGTTGTTAATTTGCAAATTGACTGTTCATTGTATGGTTTTCAGAATTTACTGAGATAGTCTGTAATTTTGCTTAAATGCATTCGATTGTCCCCAACCAGTGTTCTGTTCACTACAATACTCTCAACAGTAAAATAAGTTTGGATTTCATGCAAGAATATACCATAATTTTTTTTAAAGGTTGTTTAATTGAACTGGATACATGAATATGAGAAATATTTATAAGGTAAACATGAAAAAAAACACATAGTAACGATATTATTAGCACATACCTATATTCTTATGAAATATTTCTCAGTAAAAGTGATACTGAAGTGAAGAGTTGATTCGTATATTGTTTGTACAATACAAATAACCTGATATGTACTCTTGAACTTACATAATAAGATTATCTATACAAATGTGCAGATAAATACTACATTTTATAACTAAACCATTGACTGGTAAGATGCCTGAATATGTAGTGCCGTGTTTCGTTAATCGTTCACCTCGATAACCGTTATAATACAAATCTTAATGGTGCGTAATATCAGAAGGCAAAGAGAAGCGGCAACTACAGTTTTATTGATAAATGACGCAGACCAGAAACCTACAAGCACATGAGTAAATATCAGCGAGTTTAGTAAAAATGACACGCATTGGAGATGGCGGGTAAACCAACTCACTTTTACCAAGCGTTGATCAATATTTATAGTCAGACAAGAATAAGTTACAGACATGTGATAAATAGGATAAGAAGGGTACACACACCTACGCTCATATGAAAATGGTCGGGGTTTTTAAATGAATAATTGACAAGATGAAAACATGACTCATGATGGATAGGTGAATTGACTTGTCCAGAAATTAGAATAAGGCATATGGGCTTAACATAACAACTGATACTACAAATGGCGGAATGTATTATTTCCTCATGAGTTCGGTCGCTAATCTAACAATTGAAAGTTGTCTTTTGTGTCCGAAAAATTCCATCAAGACGGTATAAACAATATGGTGACAAGTAAATTTATTTACTCTTGTGACCACAATTGAATACCAGATCTCTTTGTTGTGTGGTGTTGTACATTTGATCACATTTATATTTGATATCTATTGTTTATTCCTATCACTGGTAAAGATATTTCACTTGTAAATCAGTTGGTACTTCCGTTACTTTTTCCGCGTAAAAACAAATGCTTACTTATCTTATTATGCTTTATTGACCCTGGCGTCTGATTGAAGAATATAATATTGTTGTTTACCCTTTAGACCGCTTTTTACTAAATGGGACTATTGGCTTGAATTACCTCCTAAAAACACTATTACATTTAAACTTTTCTTCACGCTTTCGGCACGAATACGCAGATGGATGTTCACTAATTGTATGAACTCTATTTTAGGGGTTTAATTTTAAGCAACATTCATTACATGACATTATTACTAATTTTGTTAATTTACTTTTTCCCTTGTAGCGGTAAATAAATCCCCAAAATCAATAGCTTTCCGAGTGTTCGACATTGGATGCTGACCAAGTTATTTAAGTGGACTTGTTTAACTGAAGGCTTTCGGTCATGCATCCGTACCAGATCACGTTTCGACTCAGTGTGGGACACTGCTCCTACGTTCACTTAGATTAAACGCTTCTCGATATATTGATAACGTATCAAATATATCTTTCCTACCTCTTCTCGTCTGACTTCTGATTTCGATTGGTTGGGGAAAGCTTCGAATATAGAAGGTACTACTGGTAGCAGGTTGTAAAATCAGAATACTAGTCGTATCTTCACCCTGAAGAAGCAAATTCAACCAAGTTGCGAAACGTCAGAAATTAAAAGTTTATCTATTGTGATAGCACAAATGTATCATTTTATCAGTAAAATTCTAACTAATGCTCAATTTATTTGAAACAATCAATTCGAATCTTAATATTGATATTTACATTTATTGTCCATATTTTTTTGTTTATTCATGAAGTTATCAGCTAATTAATGCTGAAGTAGTACTAAAGATTTAAATATCAGGATTGGATGTGAAATGACTGTCAGTAATCCAACCTTTCTAACTGTTTTATGGTTTTGAATAGGATTTTTAAGTAACTGCTTGTTGTCTCATAAATAATTCAGTCATGTTATATTGATCGTATACTTGAAATGTAAATTTACTTAGACTGGCTTATGGCTGTCAGTGGAATACAGAATGCTAATTTAGTTCTATTTGAGACTTGTCAAACAAAACGTTAATTCATTGAAAGTTATGATTAAATGGAAGTATCAAGATAGTTGTCTTAGGATACACATACTGATCAAATTCATTCCTGCATAAAAAAATAACGGGAGATTACAAACTCTTACTCACATATATGTATTCAATATGAAATGGCTTGGATCATTCCATATTTTTCCAGTGCATATAAAAATATTCAATTAAGAATAATCTAATCAATAGCTTACGCTTTTAATATCACTTCTGCTGGGATTTTAATCTATGTTTTGTAATCGTTAATAGATTTCACCACTTCACAATATTATAAACCCAATAAGCGGCAATGTCGCCACTTTGTTGACGAAGTATACTTTACTATATAAATAATTCAAAGTACTAGAGAAGAGATGTCGGGATTGATTCGAATCAGTTGAGGCTGTCATAGTGTGGTCTTTCATGTTTGGATATAATTCCCTTCACAGTGCCACTGGGGTACAATACTATATGCATCATGTTTATGGATTTCTTCCGTTATGAAACAAGTTTTGTTAAGATTCAGCAAACCGTGAGGTGGTATAAGTTCGTGGAACCATTGACCTTTAGATTGGGCCGTATAGGTAGGCGTAGATTAACTTGTTCAGGTTCGCTCGAATACTTTAACTGGTTGTTAGATACGTTGAATGACATAGCTTAGGACCGTTTGCAAGTGACCCGGATGCATCGATTCTTTGTCTTCCACTTGATCCTGAGACCTGAAACTCTCTTTTACTGTATTTCCTTTTTATACCTGATCTTTACTGCTAATTATACCACAGCCACTACTTTGGGATTTGTGTCAAGTTAAGAATGTCGGTGTAACACAACGAAGTTGTCAGTCTACGTCAATCAAGATATATCAGAAAGAATATAAGTTGAATAACTCAACGAATTGCAATGGTAATTATTAATCCCTTTGTATATTATTTATCGCCTGATACATATTACACAATAGAATACCTTCAAATGTGCTCACAAATTTCTCTGACTTGAATACTGGTCCACATATGATTATTAGTCAGTCAGTCACAACGTAGACCTTCGTACGTACGTACATCAGTTCGAGTTGCCATACCACATTAGCAACTCGAACTGATGTACGTAAGTACGAAGGTCTACGTTGTGACTGACTGACTAATAATCATATGTGGACCAGTATTCAAGTCAGAGAAGTCTGTGAGCACATTTGAAGGTATTCTGGTGTATAATTTGTATCAGAGTACAGATTTAACAATCCTGAGAATCACTAGTTAACATACCGAATCTGAATACTTCTGTTTATTATCATTATGCATGATTAGGTATGCTGAATTCTGTGACCAGTGGATTCATTTATTTGCGAACTTTAAGAGCGATATGAAATATGATAAACACATAACTGTCAGCAATATTTGGAAAAAATGACTTGAAAAGTCACAGGTGCACCATGAATTAGTTTACGAATGACATTTCATTCATTTAGCACTAATACTTCTTTCCTTATTGGGATTTCGTTTACTCTCTGGTGGTAAGATTGAATTTTATGAAAACTCATAACGATTTACCCACATAATGTCATATATATAATTGCTACCTTGTTGGGTAAAAAGAAATGAAATAACATTTCAAACAAACAATTTCTCTGGTGTTTAACAGACAATAAATTACAGTTGTACAACAGAAATAACACGCATATTTAACAGAAAGACAACGGTAAACCTGAATTAGAAAGAAAAATGTAAAATCAATCATTATCACTGCCTAGAAGTTGCTGCCTTCTTTTCACCATTTTCTCCTTTCGTCGCATCATATCACGGATCAGTTCTTCATTATCTTCTAGAGCTGCCAAACGTGCACTACAAAAAATTGAGAACATATACTTACTTTTTAAAATAAATCCTGTAAAAGTCGTCTTTTTATATTAAAAAATGGAGGAAATCTGGCTCGTCAGTTGTTCTATTGTTGTTTTTATTGGACGTCTATTTGTCTGAAGACCATTTATTAGCAGTTTGACATTCATGAACAATTTCCTCTTAGCCCCATATTTCATACATCTAAATAGTAAGCCTAAGCACAATAACCGACATTTCTCTTTTGAAGTGATATGATAAAGTTCAAAAACATCCGTACGCTTTAGATTTCATCTGAAACATTGGTGGAAGAATTAATCAACTGTAAGTGTACCACCGAACAAATGCAGATGAAGACAGCAAATGTAGCAGCAGCCTCCGCATCGATAGGCCTCCACATTCACAAAGGAAAAAGCAAGATTCTCAAATATAACACGGAGAACACCGACCCAATCACACTTGATGGCGAAACTCTGAAAGAGGTGGAAACATTCAAGTACCTGGGGAGCATCGTTGATAAATAAGGATGATCGGATGCAGGTGTAAAAGCGAGGATTGGCAAAGCAAGGGCAGCATTTCTACAGTTGAAGAACATATGGAACTCAAAACAACTTTCAACTAATTTCAAAGTGAGAATCTTTAATACGAACGTCAAGACAGTCCTACTATACAGGGCTGAAACGTGGAGAACTACTACGACCATCATCAGGAAGGTACAAGTATTTATAAATAGTTGTCTACGCAAAATACTCAACATCCATTGGCCGGATACTATCAGCAACAGCGTTTTATGGGAGAGGACAAACCAGCTTCCAGCTGAAGAGGAAATTAGGAAAAGACGTAGGAAGTGGATCGGACATACATTAAGAAAATCACCAATGTGCATCACGACTCAATCCCTAACTTGGAATTCGGAAAGGAAGCGGAGAAGAGGAAGGCCAAAGAACACATTACGTCGGGAAATAGAAGCAGATATGAAAAGGATGAATAGCAACTGGAAAGAACTGAAAAGGAAGGCTCAGGACAGAGTTTGATGGAGAATGCTGGTGAGCGGCCTATGCTCCTCGACGAGGGGTAACAGGCGTAAGTAAGTGTACCACAGAGAATCTATGATCAACCACTGCTATGCATTAGCAAATTTTTATGCACTATGAGCCATATATATATATATATATATATATATATATATATATGTAGTTCGCATTTCTGTTCGTATTCGTTTTATGTGCTTGTGGCTAAGTGGTTTGCACCATACAAAAATAAACCGTTGTCAACACTTCGTATTGTCCTCTGAAATTTATGCACCGTTGGAAGTTATCTTATAACGGTAATAAAGACGAGTGATATACAAAGCTTTGGGAATTATCTCGACAGTAATCCACTAAAAGCCCTTCCATCCTATGCACAGCAACAAATGCAGGAGAAGGCGGACAATCTAGCAGAAGCCTCAACATTCACAAGGGCAAAAACAAGATCCTACAAAATAATACAACGAGCACCAATCAGATGGCACTTGCTGATAGAGCACTAGAAGAGGTAGAAGATTTCACTTTTAAGGGTAATATCGTTAACAAAGAAGGGGAATCTGATGTAGATATGAAAGCACAGATTAGTGAAACAGCAGAATCCCTAGAATCGAAGAATATCTGGAACTCAAAAGAACTGTTGGCTAACACTGAAGCCAGAATTTTCAATACAAACATTGAAACAGTTCTACTGTACAGGGTTGAAATTTCAAGGACTATAACAACCATCAAAAATGTATGGATATTCTGTAACAGTTTACGCAAGATATTCCAGATTCATTGGCCAAGGACCATCAGCAGTAGCCTACCAGTTTTTAGTTGAGGAGATTAGGAAGAAATTGTAGAGGTAGATTGGAGATACTTTATGAAAATCAAACCCGAAGTTAGAATTTTAAGTCTAAACGGAAAGCAGAGAAACCAAAGAACATATGGTGCAGAGATTGGGGGGCAGACATCAAAAGAGTGAATAGCACTTGGCAACAACTGGGAAACAAAACTGTTAAGAGTTAGTTGATCCCTTGTTGGCATTCTATGTTCCGTGAGGAGTAAGAGGCATAAGTTCGATTCAAAGAGTTTGTGTACCGTCGCACAGTAGGACAACGTCATAGGTATACTCAGTATAGAAAGTCTTTCTTCGGGTAGCATATACGCCATAAATATGATAACAATGGTTGATTAAGAATATGTTTGATCGAATACAATTTGGGTAGTATGTTGCTGGTTTTTTTTATCCTATGCAATGACAGTCATCACAAATTTATCCATAGTGATTTTAGAGATAAATCGTGACCACAAATTGCATGTACTTGTTTTTAACTCACTAGCTGATAATCTTGATAAAGGAAAAAACAATGCAAGATACTGTACAAAAGCGTGTACGCTTAAGTGGACATAGTATCAGTAATACAACGAAAGGTGACTAAAATACGTGAACGAATAACGTACAGAACAGTTTACAGTAATGGAATACTCTGGATATTTATAGAGAATAGTTGATGCTCAATCATATAAATTAAATAAGCTAATGATAGTCGAAGAAACTGTCGTACGATATCAGAAGTAATATGATGTTATCAAGATGAATACCAAAGTAGTCATAGAATCAGGGATAGTAAATAAGAACAGCCATAGAAAATGACTTCAATAAATTCGTGGAATAAAAGATATAAAGTATCGAATACCGTTAGTAGCATGGAAAAATACTTTTCCGTGAGGCACGTCAAAATAAAACCGAGTTATCAGTGGTCTTAAATAAGTGGGAGGGCGATTATAGAGCCCAAGTGGCAAATACTTGAGGCTTGTCGCAGACGACGTTTTTGCATTTTCTTACATGTTTGCTTTCTGCTCCTAATTTGCTGCTTTTCATTTGACACCGTTCAACCTAACCACATGCCACTGTACGACCTTAGAGAGCAAATGCCCTAGCCAATATGGCTTCGCAGGTTCAACACGACATCCAAAGCTGACTTTTAGATAAAGGTGATGGCCCTAAACTTCGAACCAAATCAGTCAGACATAAGCAACTTAAGACCTGCTTCCTGGCCAGTAATTTCCCAAATTTTGGTCTTTATTTTGATAACCCGCAGTCATCACCTCTGTCGGTAAATCTATAGAAAATGGTGACAATGAGAATTCATGAGGAATAAATGTGACTGCCATCAGAGATCGTTGTTAACTCTGCCTGCTTGTTTATGATAACTATACAATGAAACTAATTTACGCAAAACACTACACATGTAACGGCTTACCTTCTACGTTCTTCTTTTTCTATATCACAGTATTTTGCCTCCATACAACGTAGATCTTCATAAGGATTGACATCCTTATACTTCCGGGGATCAAACTTCAGAGCACGATGAATGTCACGAACGACTCGAGCGTACTCCTTTGATTGGAGTGCCTCACTATCATCTATGAAACTGTCATCGCTCATATATTCATCTTCTTCAGCAGAATCGGAAGCAGACATATTGGTGCTATTTTGAGACTGGAAGTTAACACCTAACTGTGCAGCTATACCTCTTCTTTCGGTTCTGTTATCAACATTCCTAGACTGAGGATTTTCTTTCAATTTTTGGTTAATGCTATTACTGTTCTTGTTAAGGTTTTTTATGCCTTCCTTATTTGAAGTAGGGGCAGTTTTAGATAAAGAAATTTTTACATTACCGAAAGCTTGGGAAGCTGCTGTTTTGGGAGCTTGTGCGACTACTGACTTCTTATTGTTCACATTGAAAGAAACCAACTTTGAATTGGTGGAATTTTTAGGTGGTGGTTTACTTTCTTTGGGAAGATGGACTTTTGATGTCTTGGGTAGCTCTGGGGATTTCGCTTTGATCTCTCGTAACGTTGCAGAGTGGCTTGCACAAGTAGTACGTTCAATAGAATGACTATTCTTCTGGTGCGAATCGTAGGGAACTCGGTGGCTTTTTTCAAGATGTTGAACAACTTTTTCCATTACACTTTTGTGGCCAGTTTTACTAAGACCGTTCGAACCAACAGATTGAGAAAACTTTGGTAACTCTAACTTTTGGGAAGCCTTCGAAGATTCTGGTAAGTTTGACGCTAACTGTGACTTAGTTTTGGTAACGTCTTTTGAAGTGGTAAGTGTAGGTTTAGAACTATCAATGGGATTAGAGTCTAACTTTCTATATTTTGAATCAACAGCACAAGGAATAAGATCATCAAACGGTCTTTTTCTGTCCAAAGTTTGGTGCACATTTTTCTTAGCCAATTCCATCATTTCTGTAAAAGAAATGCGGTTAGGCTTTGACTGCATTCCGTCACTTTTCTTGGAGTTGAACTTTGAAGGGTATGATAAAACGGTGTCTTGTAATGGCTTATTGGCTACTTTACCGTTTTCATCCTTTGTATCTTTACAGACTGTTGCTTTTTCAGGTTTGCAAACTGTACTTGTGTTTGAACTAAATGTTTTAGATCTTACTGTGGAAACATTGACTGTGGTCGCCAAAGAAAGAGACGTAGTAACGTTACTATGATTCTGGACCTTTACATTATTGTTCGTCAAAAGATTATGTTTTGTAAACTTGCGGTTCAATTTGTCTGCAATCTCCATTTGCTTTTTCTTCTCGAGTTCACGTTGTTTTGCCTGTTCTTCAATACGTTTAACCTTAAACTTTCAGGAATGAATTGAGCGAGGACTACCTCATTATCATGTTTAGACTGCTTTTTCTTTGCCAAAGCCAACACCTCTCGAAAATCCATCAAACTTAACGCGTATCCTCTTGACCCTGAAATGTTCAATGAAAAGACAATTTGAATCTCAAACATTATTGGCTTGATGTATCTTAGTATGACTTTGAATATAAACCTCAAATATTTACTCTTTCATTGAGAATGAAGTTGCAAGAAAATGTATCAGCTCTTCAGACCTTTTATCTTTCAAACTTTGTTTACCAGAAAAAGAGAATTACTTGTCCCTCATAATGAGACTATTGGTGTAAGCAGAATACTCTTGGTGATGGGAAGGTATGTTTTATATTGTGATTGACAAAAAAGTAACGACCAGCACGCTAGTTAGATGTTTCATTTGGACATGAGCGGAATAAAAAGCGTTCACTTAAGGAGATGCTAATGGATTCAGTCTTCAGTAATAAGGATAGTAGGTTGATGAACCTGTGTTAATCCTAACAGATTTCCTTCCAGTGAAGGTCCAGATTCTTTTTGAAAATGTTCACTGATGGTGCTGATACCACTTGTTCTGGTAAAGCGTTCCAGTCATTGACCACTCGATGAGAAAAACGGGACCCCACCTTTAGTTTATTAAATCGCAGTTTCAGAACCTTCTTCCTATGACCCCGGAGATTATTAGTGCTGGAGGGAGCAAAAAGATAAGACATATTAACACCCAGATCATAATTAAAGATACGAAATGCCAGTATAAGGTCACCTCGCGTCCTACGATAAGATAAGGGGAAAAGGTTTAGACGTTTTAAACGCTCATCGTAAAGGAGTTTAGAAAGACCATTTACTAATTTTGTCCCTACACGCTCAAGCGATTTAGTATCCTTTATCAGACAAGGGCTAGCTGCTTGGATACAGTATTCTAAGTGTGGCCTTACATAGGTGGGATATAAAATTCGAAACATCTCCTCGTCAAAGCATTTAAATGCTCTGCGAAGCGACCATAGCGCTCGATAGCCTTTGGAAGCAACCGCATTGCAGTGCGTAGTAGTTTTTAAGTCGTGACTTATAATTACTCCTAAGTCTTTGTGCTCATGAACGCGTGGCAGAGATGTACCGTTAATGGTAGAATGGTAACTAGTACCGTGCCCGATGTGTATGAACACGCTCTTCCTGGAATTAACTTCCAAGCCCCAATCATGAGCCCACCTAACTAATTCGTCTAAATCTGCTTAAAGATAACAACGATCAGTCTCATTTCTTATTGTTCTCCAGGTTTTAACATCATCCGCAAACAATAACGTCGACGACTTAAGTAATTGAGGTAGTTCATTAATATACAGAAGGAAAAGTAAGGGGCCCAAGATGGTGCCTTGGGGGTACACCACTTCTGACCGGTTTCCATTCGGATAGAGTTCCATTGACCCTTACTCCCTGTCTGCAGTCACATAAGAAGCTTCCTATCCATTCCTGTATAGCACCTGTTATTCCAAAGCTCGAGTGCTTTTGCATAAGACCTAAGTGTGGAACCTTATCAAACTCTTTGCCAAAATCTATGAATATCACGTCGACAGACTGGCCGTTGTCTAGGGCAGCTTTCCAATCCTCTCTCGCAATCAGTAAGTTAGTCAGGCATGAATGCTTGTTACGAAACCCATGTTGCTCGGGAGTTAACAGATTGTACGAATCTATGTGGCTTAGCAGCTTAGCCCGAATTAGTTTTTCAAGTAACTTAACTACTACACTGGTCAGGCTAACAGGCCGGTAGTTAGATACTATCCGTCTCTGACCATCCTTAAATATAGGACTAACTATGGCGTCTTTCCAGTCTCTAGGTAGTTGAGCCTGTGAAAGGGACATGTTGAAGAGCATCGTGAGCGGTCTTGAGATAATGTCCGCAAGCGACGACAGTAAACGTGGGTGTAACCCATCGGGGCCCGGTATCTTACAAGGTTTTAGGTTAGTTATCAAACGAAGAACAATATCCTCTGTCACGTGTAAAGGTCCTATGGCTGGTATCTCATTGTCGACGGGACAAGTAGTTGTAACACTACACATAGAGTATACTTCACTGAAATAGTTAGCAAATGTCTCCGCTTTCGCTAGATCAGATTCAGCCAATAAAGCTGAATTTTTGCTTAACAGTAATAATAATAATATATTTCTGCATTAGCAGGTACACGCCATTTTTACAGGCATGATCTACAATTTACAACATATACTGGTTCACAGTATGCATCCCAAGCAAGGTTGTTTAGTAATTATAATCTATAAAAGTTGATAGCAGTTCATTCGTTCAGATATAATGTGTTTTCATAAGAATAGTTTCCAAAGGGGCATAGCGTCCACGTTACATACCAGATCCAATCTCGACAAAAAGTATAATAGGGTTTCGGTAGTTCTAAGTATTTATGTAATGCAGCTTTTTAAGTTTATAGTTGTTATAAAGTATGCTTGTGGAGCGCCTGGTTCGAACTATGACCTTGGGAAAGCGCGTTCGTCAAGCTTGTTCCAGATGTCAGAAGTTACATAGCTTCACCCTCAGAGCAAGATTCTGAAGAGAAAAAATAAAAGAGAAACCGAGGAGCAGCAAGGCATTTGGATATGAGCGATAATCAATACTTAACATTTATTAGTGGAACAGATGGAGGTATGATAAATTATTAGATTAAATTGATACTAGCTCATGTTGCAAGAGTAAACTGCGATTATGGGCTCCAGAAGAGAGAAGGCAGTAATAAAGAAAAATGGGTTGTAATATTTATCAAGGTGGAGTAGGTTCCAATGAAGGAGGGAAGTCAAGGTTGGAATGAGGAAGAACAGAGAGTGCATATAGAGAGTAGTGTTAAGTAAAATAGCAACCACATCCTTTACAGTCAGTTTTTTTTTCTTTTCTCATCCGATGCCTGCCACACAGTGTTCATGTAAAAGTCCGAGTTAGCATGTTAAAGGTTGTCTTAGTAGAATAGTTAATCCAGCACAAATGAGGGGATACCATCACTACGTTTCGTCCGCCTTTTAACGTACGAAAACAGTCGCTTCGGACAGGTACGGCTATCGTATGCCAACTGTCGTTTGTAAGCCATGCGGGATTTAGCTATGGTCTTTTTACATATATTCCGGATTTTTTGTATTCGCACTTAAATGATGTCTGACCTGTTGACAAGAATAAGTCCCAGAAGTGTTTCCTACGCTTCAACAGCTTCCGGGTTTCCTTATTAATCCATGGGGGGCAATATGATAGCTTACGTGCTGACCATGGGATAAACGGTTGAGTTAAGGATTCGAACGTAGACTTAACTCTATTCCATGCATCATCAATTGATCCATCAGCGTCGACCGACCAGTCAATTGAGATAGCACAGTCCCTGATTGCCGGAATATTAGCTCTCCAGATATTAGGACGGGGTGGAGCAGATGCAAATTCTATACCATGTATCCGGAACTTAAAGGAAAGTACGACATGGTCACTATTCAGCAGTGGGGGAAGGTGTTGAATGTCGGCGATATCTTCACAGTGGTGTGTGAGGACAAGGTCTATCAATGACGGATTATGTTCCAAGTCTATATGCGTCGGCTTAACGATACATTGTACAAGTGCACATTGAATAATTGATGACAGAAGGACGCTATCGAAACCCCCACCTGGAGCTGTGAGCTCTAACCAGTTTATATGGGGTGCATTGAAGTCTCCAACGATGAGACAAGATTCTGCCTTACTCCAAGAACAGACGTGTTTTAGGATAAAGTCGTCAGCGAGACAACATGGACTACGATATATTCCTCCTATCATCACTAACCCGTTTCTAGACCTATTACCTCACACGTATCATTTACATGCGCCTACGATATGATCGAGTTTATGCAGAAGTGGTCCCTAACATATAGTATTATGCCTCCTCCCTTGCGACTTCTAACTCTATCACTTCTGACACAGATGTAGCCTGAAATGACTGGAGAACAATCTATATCTACAGTGAGCCAAGTTTCAGTAATAACAATTATATCCGGATTTAAGTCGTCTACCATCAAACTTAGCTCAGACATCTTATTCCGAAGACTACGAGCATTCGTGTAACACACATTTAAGGTGTTTTTGGAGACATACGTTCTACCCACACAGGTCTCGGAAGCATTGGCTTCCAAGACCTGACTACCAGAAAACCCTTAACCGACACAACTAGTCAGGGGTATAGCTACATGAAACTATCAGAAGTAAAAAAGGTGCTAGTAACTTGTTACCTTAAACCATTATGAGTCCTTAATTAATCGCCACGCTTTCCCTTGAAGGACTTCTAAGTAAATGCATAGACCAGCACAGTCAATGGGCAGTCGCATGACTTCACTACTCCCAAAGAATGAAAACTGTACTCCCAGTCCAGCTTATCGTGTTGTAACCCCAATCCCAAACTACTTACTTCACAGGCCGAGCTGAAAACGAACTTAACTAGGAATTTTAGAGGATATCCAGTGTTTCTCAGCCTGCTTCAAGTCATTACAAGACCATCTCTGAGTCGCCTATATCCTAAGTGATAATAATAAAATGTTTTGGAGTTTTTCACATAAGACTTCAGTTTGAGTCCACGAACTGATCTCATAACCCACCTTTGCACATACTACAAACCATTGCTTTTCTTTAGGAGTGAACGAGCAAATATTATATTTCCATGTTGTAAGTGTATTGGACTAAAGCTGCTAAGCTTTCATTAGGGGATACAACTGTTAAATTTGTAGTAATTCACTTCAAAGCCGATACTTCAGTGTCGACTTTAAGGTCATTTTCGCCATAGTTGTCATTCCTTTCAGTTACACATGGGAAAGGAAAGTGATTTAAAGAACGAAGAAGAAAGTAATCATGATAATTTTACTTTGGTTTTGAAGATGTAGTATCAAAGTTAATGGGCTGTTACGCATACAAACCTCGTTTTCAAATGCCTTGACAAGTGGAAGGAATTTTATTCCAAACAGTTTCAATTATGGTACAAAACTGTCAGATATTTATGGTTTTTAGTGAAAACAAAAACATCATTATAGTTATCCAAACCGCACACAGGGGGTTATTAGCATTTGTCCAACAGGGAAAGTACACATAGGGATTCTGGAATATTCTTCTAAAGGCTGATTGAATAGGATATGTTAGGCTCCTCCCGGGCTTCTTAGAGCTTCCTCAAGTTCACCTGTGGACCGTTCTCACACTTTCTCCCTTTAAAGTCTGTCGTGTAAGACCTTTTCCTCAGATCCACCCGAAAGTTGGTTACTTCATTCCTCTTGTGGCTCATCACTCTCGAAGTTTGTACCACTTTGTTCTTGCATCGTTCATCTCTTCTACATTCGCGCTCCAGAGGACGTTTTCAAGATGAATCCACGAGGAATTGAAACTGGAATCGGCTTTGTGGGATCAATGATCTGCTGTCCCTTGGAATTTGATTTGTGTGTCTTATACACCTTCTGACATTCCTCCTCATTAAGTGCAGTACATTTCCCATCTGACGTTCTATAACACCCGGTTCCCACTTTTTATCACCATGGTACAATTCAACAATTATCCTTTCACCTACGTACGATACTAATTAGTGGGTTTATTCGTCTTTATGGGTGGTAACATTCTGTTGAAGACTATCCGGATTTTTCTACCGAATATTCGCTCGGCTGGTGACTTTTCTTCTGGTACTGCCGGATTAGGGGGAACTCTCCAAGACATTAAGAACTTACTGAACACTTGTTCTGAGATCCCCTCTCCTCCCCCTTTGACTACAGCTCTTTTTATCATATACACGAGTCTTTCTGCTTGGCTATTCGACTGAAGATGGTATGAAGGAGACTATAGATGCGATGTGCCATTTTCATTGCAAAACTGTTCAAAAAACAGATGACATGAGCTGAGTGCCGTTGTCAGTCACTAAGATCTCTGGAATCCCAAAACAAGCAAACAATCCTGGCAGTCTTCTTATTGAACTCTCTGATGTCATTCACGTCATGTCATATACTTCTAGCCATTTTGTACTTAGAATTAAAAAGCAAGCAGTCATCAATACAAAGGAGTCATTGGTTCATCCAAGTAACATATGGTTGTCTTAGTAGAATAGCTAATCCAGCATAAATTAGAAACATGATTCTGAATGGTGATTAGGAGAACAACATCAATATTACAGATTTATCGACTTGTTTTCAACCATAAGGAACAAGTCGATAAATCTGAGATATGAGCCTAAACATATGAACGATAACAGCAAGCTGGGTCATACACATACTCGATATCACAAAGCAGTCTTGAGGCGAATTACTACAAATTTAACAGTTGTATCCCCTAATGAACGCTTAACAGCTTTAGTCCAATACACTTACAACATGGAAATATAATATTTGCTCGTTCACTCCTAAAGAAAAGCAATGGTTTGTAGTATGTGCAAAGGTGGGTTATGAGATCAGTTCGTGGACTCAAACTGAAGTCTTATGTGAAAAACTCCAAAACATTTTATTATTATCACTTAGGATATAGGCGACTCAGAGATGGTCTTGTAATGACTTGAAGCAGGCTGAGAAACACTGGATATCCTCTAAAATTCCTAGTTAAGTTCGTTTTCAGCTCGGCCTGTGAAGTAAGTAGTTTGGGATTGGGGATACAAACTATCGGACTGAGTCAAAGGCACACGATGTCATTTTAATAGTCTTCAGATCTGTTGTACAGATGCTTAGAGCTTGCTCAAAAGAATACCCAAGCTAGGTGTATAGATAGACTCTATCAGGCCGGTTGCAATCACATTCACGAAACGTGGCTGACACAGTCTTTAGACAGTTGGGACAATGTTTCGAAAGTCTCATATTAGTAAGAGCCAACAAAATTCAGAGGTAAAAAGGAGGATAAGTAGATCTATTCATAAGAAATATTATTCCATTTACCATTACTGATAACGTATCCTATGAAAGTGGGATATGTGAATTACTTAGCTGCCGCTTGAATCTCAAAAGACAAAAGCTATCAGTTAATTTGGTCTACCTCACTTCAAACTATACGGTGAATGAGATCTTGCTAAACTGTTTAAAGTGGTTGAAGGGTAATCATAGGAAACTTTGATGCACCTACGGTCACCGCACCACACATCCCTTGAACTACACTAATAGGTCTGATGAATTCCCCACCGTAGTTCAGCAAAGAGGTTCGCACCCTTGTCATTAAGAGGAGAAGAATACGGAGGAGATTTAAGTTACTGGGAGTTGATAAAACAAAATCTCAAAATTAGGAAGCTCGAAATAAGTCTGATTTAACCTTCTGAAAGTCTTAGAATTTGTGCAAGCAAATAATTTTCAAGGAGTCTATAAAATACCATAAACGCTTGTAGGGGTTAATAAATCTCCAAAATTAATAGTTCCGTAAGTCTTCGATATTTGACGCTGACCACATTAGTTCTAATGGAATCACCTGTATGAAGGCGCTCGTTTATGCATCCGCATCAGATCACGAGTGGGAACACCGTGATCCACTTCTCTTACAAACGCTAAGCAGTTCAGATCGGTCACTTCCTGATATATTGATAGTCTATTAAATATATCTTAAAATCTCTCCTCTTTTGACTGCTGATTTCATTGGGTGGGCACGTTTCGATTACAGTAGGTGTCACTGGTTAAAGTGTTGTCAAGCTCCAAATACTTGAGGCATCTTCGTGCTTATACTCAGGCGTAAACCAAAGGAATAGAAGAGGAGGAAATGTTTCAGCATCATGAGGAGACAGAAGTACTGAATTATCACCACTACAGGGAAACTACGTGCCAGTTGCTAGGTTAGACCCTACTAAAGGCCAAATATCAGAAGGGCAGTTGAAGGTTGTTGTAAGATGTATTTGTTAACGATCTTGTGGTATCGTAACAATACCGAGATCGTGCCAAAATCCACATGCGAGACTACTCAGAGTACGAGGGTTCGTGCAAGGTCACAACACAACTGAAGAATGTATTTTTTGGCACACCTAAACGAGCAGGTACAGAAAGACAATCAGTGGTACAGTTGGTTAAATAATAATTGTTTCCATTACGCCAATCCCGTTCTCTTCATGAAGATAGGTCTCCACAATAGTTTAGAACTCCAAAATGACCTGAAGAAATTATCTGACTAGTTTAAAATTTGGGAGTTGCTGATAAATGTTTCCAAGTGCATTGTGATGCACATCGTCCACCAAGGTACAGATACAAGGTGAGTGACGGTGAGCTATCTATTGTCCAGATACATAGTGACTTGAGAGTCATTGTTAGACAAGACTTTAAAACTACTCCGCACTTGCGTGCAATAGTCGTCAAAGGTTTTAGAACTCTATGGTCGATACGTAGGGCTTTTAGCCATGTTGGTGATAAAACCCTTTTGACTTTGTATACAGTATTCATTCTTCCTTAAATCAAGTACCGCATTCAAGCGGCTAGTCACTGGATAAAAAGAGAGGGTGAGCTGTTGTAAAAGGTTCGAAGAACCACAACTAGGCTGACTTCCAAAATGGCGAATCTCCTGTATGATGCTCAACTGGCTAGACTGAGCCTATTTCTTTTGTCATATAGAAGGATCAGAAGTGACTTGAGCTCGGTCTTCAGACTACTCGGCAATGAAATTGAATGTGAAATGCCCTTTCATAACAGGAAAATCATGATGACTCTGAAAATGTTAACAAACACAGAACAAATTACTGGTCAGCTGAATATCAGATTTCCCATCGAATCGTCAACGGATGGAATCCATTAACTCAACACGTGACTGAAGATCCATCTGACGACGCTTCCAAATGCAAGTTGGTTCAACTGAGAGACCACCAATGATGGGACCAACACAAGCCACCTGAACTCCTGTCCTTTCCAAAAGCAAAGTGAAGCTGTGGTGGCCTAAATCTGATTCCTTTTTGATCGTACTTACCGTCTATCCTCGTATGTAATAAATGACTTTATCCGCGTTGGTGAATAACGGAATTAAATAAGTCAAATACGAGAATGGATTTAGAATACATATATTTCCTACACTCATTGATCTGACCAGGGAATCAGAACGATGAAGTAAATGGATGAGAGCAGAACATATATGACATGCAGTGGAGATGGCGGAGAAGCCAACTCAAGAGCGAAGCGAAAGATAATGCGTACTGGAGATGGCTGAGAAGCCAACTCGTTATAAGCAAGCATTTATAGTCAACATTTATAGTCAGACTAAAATGAATGACACACATGTGATAGGTAGGATAAGAAGGGTGCATACACATACGCTCATATAAAAAAATAGTCAAGGTCAATAAGCGAATAATTAACAAGATCAAAATATGACTCATAACGTTATAGGTGAATTGGCTTGTCCAGAAACTAGAATAAGCTATGTAGGTGTAATATAGTACACGACGTTACACTACTCTCCACAAAGCTTTCCATTTGATATTTTCTGAAGTTACTATATGATTATATCAAGTTAAATTGGAAAATAAAGAAAAAGTGAATTCAAATCGAAGTCTAATAAGATTAACCTTACCGTCAACTGAGTCAGTTAAGATCTTGCAGCGTATATTTGTTATGTTGGACCATGTTATTTAGTGCGTTCATTGAGCCAGAATCAGCTGACTTAAGCGCGCTTTACGTGTGTTTCCATCCAATGATGGGGAGTTTTTCCAGACCTACAGACTATTTGTCGCACAATATTCACCATGTTTCTTCTGAACACGTAAATATCATCCGAAATGATTTCTATTTTTAAATATAGGATAATATGCAAAACACGCGTGGTAAACATAGACGGATGCATTCTGAGGGTTCTGCCTGTATTACCTCATCTTCGTGTGATCCTCTGATACCCAACCAAACAGATACAGATTGGATGCCACAGTTTGCTCTAAGGAGGCGAAAGTTGCCAGAGTTTTCCCTGTCCAGCGATTCTTCAAACCATGTGACTACCAACGCATATACGCCACAACCGACTTGGAATCTAAATTCGTCTGTTACAGACTTGCACTCACTAACTGTCCCCAAAACAAATCATTCTCCTTTGTGTGCACATCGTCGGTCTGCTAGTTATGGTGGGGATTACTTCACATTCGCAGCTCATGGGATTGGAGAGGCTGCTAGTAGAGCTGTTGAACACGCAGAAGAGTTGGTTATTCACCTTTGGAAAAAAGGGTGGAGAGTAGTTCACCACCATAGCTTACCACACTGGTTAAGAGATAATGACTTTCTACTTCGGGGTCACCGACCACAACTCCCATCATTTCGTGAATGCTTCCGTTCTATCTTCCGACTCCATACGGAAACAGGAAACATTTGGACACATCTCATTGGTAAGTCATCAATAATTTGCGTGTTAATATTTGCAATCACCTTATTCCGTTTTAAATTCGACCTATAAAATAAATCTTGTCGATACATACTTATTACGTTCGTATTGACTTTCTATGCTGTTACTTTTCTTGGTCTTCCCCGTAACTGACGAACTGTGAGCATTATTGGTAACTCATAACACGCCTTATTGTATATTTTTAGTGAAATATCATAATGGCGCCATTAAGATGTATAAGGACTGAATTGGGCAGACATCCCTATGTCTTACATTTTTAAATATTCTAGTTCATAAAAAGTCCACATATTTTAGATATAAGCTGAAACTTCAACGTGTAGGTTCTCTAGCATAAATACAACTTGTCAGGTATCATTATTGCTTATGTGGTGTTGAGCGTTTTTTGCGTTTTACGTTTCCATGTTAACGAATGTAAAATATCCCGGATTTTTGTTACTGCTTTTATGTTTCAGTGCAGGACTCGTCCGAAAATGTAGCTTTTGACTGAGTCATTTACATTTCCACAGTGAAAGTAATATGTTTCTGTCACCGTGTAATAACTCGTAGAATTTCATTCTCTTTTTATCTTATCATCTCGGTGATCGCATAACGTTTCCAACTCGTACTGTCACATCATTAGAAAACTCAAGTCCAGAGGTCCTCTTTTGGTAAGAAGTATATCTTTTCATTTAGATAAATGAAAACTGGTTTTAGTTGTTTACTATAGTAAGATCATCATTTTTAAGTAGTCGCCTCACGTAATCCAAGTGACTAAATATATATTCATTATTTTGAAGTCAACAAGCAAGATGCTCTAAAATACTTTCCAACAATAGCTAGATCCCAGTTACGTTAAACAGCTTCAGACAGTTTATATACGTGGAAACATTCCACATTAATCACTCTCTCAAGAAGCTAAGTGACAATATCACTCCTAGCATTACCTTATTAGATTTTGAGTGCGGACTGCTTTTTGGTTGCTAGCATTGAATTTTAGGTTATTTTCCAGTACTTACGTCACTGTTTGACTAGTCTCTAGCCTCAGTAATCACTGATTAAACAGATATATCATCCTCTGATTTGTTAATATTTAGGTCATATTTAATGATAACCAGTAAATTCGACATTTTGTTCCATATATTTAAAAACTAAAAGTCTTGATAATAATTTCTGTTGAAAATATGTAAATATTCATAATATTCACAATGTATCCACTCTATGTGGTTTATGCATCTGAATTTTTGTTCACTGAATAGTTTTGACACGTCAGCTCAACTTCCTGACATGTACTGTCTATTTTTTTCCGACTTTTTTCTGTAGGCTTCATTTGTTTTCTGATCTTAAGTATTTCATTTCTAGTTCATCCGGGTTTAAATATACATTGGCAAGAGAAAATGATTGTTCAGGTATTTTTTACAAGCGCCATCGTTGCACTTGGTTTTTCATGGTTGTTTCACACAGTTTATTGCCATTCAGAACGTGTTGGGAAATTATTCAACAAGTGAGTATTCTATGATCATTTTCAGAATAGATCGTTATTATACTCCGGTAATTTAATATTTATGTGTTGAGATTTTATAAACTTCAGCATATAGGTTTATAAACAGTAAGAATAGTGCAAACTTAACTCATTGCGAAAAGCCTTGGCAGAAGCTACATACATCTACCACAAATATTTCCAATATTTTCTAGTCCTGATACCCTTTTTATCTGTCAAAGAAAGTTTATTTTTATGGGATTGATTCCGAGAACGACTAGTCAAGGTTGTCGTTTAAAGCATTTCAAACACTCAGTATCATTTCTCCCACATATCTTGCTTAAAATTGTAGAATTAATTTGAGCTTGTTATCGATTTAAACACTTTTTTTAGAAGAACGTGACAGGCTTTGCTCACTTCTTGTCTTCAACTCACTCAAATATTTCATTATTTACAGCTGCATATATATGCTTCAATGTCACACTAATTAGTTTTATGAAGTCTACATGTATTCTTATTAATTTTCAATTTAATCGATGGTAATTATGATAAAGATGAACATCTTTTACTGTTTTTGACTTTACATGAAAATACCTTCAGCAGTTAAAACACTGTAGCATTTCAAATGTGTTTTGAAGCAAGAGTTATCAATGTTCAATGTAATTTCTAAAGAGCCCTTATTTTCTTTGTACAGTCATGAAATTCCAAGGTAGCTAAGGCCAATCTTAAAATGTCAAATTTATAAAAGCAAGTAAGTGTTAGGAAAAACCAAATATATAACTCAGGAATCTATTTATAACTGTCAGTTTCTGCAGTTTATCTGACAATGTTGTAAGTTGTATACATGTATTAAGTTATTCATTAATTTGTATCAAGTACTGCCAGTTCAGTGTACTGAAATTTGACCGTTGATCAACTAAATGAGACATAACAGCTTAATTTGGATGCAGTTTGGTGAAAATTCCCATTCGGACATTTAGTAAAAGACAGTTAGATGGTGCAGCCATGGGACCATTACTAGGTCATTCGCTAGCAGACTTTTCTCGCAAAACTAGAAAATAGAAAGTTAAAAGACATTGTCTGTCAGCTAACATATTACTGTCCCTACATAAATTATACTTTCGTAGCAATGGAAAATAAAAATATGAAGGATAATTTGCTTATATATTTAATCCCGTCCATTCATCTATTAAGTTCGAGCTTGAGGAAAAACAACAATAACATATCGTTTTTTGACGTCCGACTTAAGAGATTAAACGGAAGATTAGTAAGAAGGATACATCGAAAATCCTCAGTTGGAAAAGATATCTCTATAATTCTATACAAATCATATATAACTGAAACGTAGTGAAAATCCTGATTCGTCGTACCCAAGTGGTTTGCTCTGATGGCATCTCTAAAGATAAATTGACCAGTGTTCGTAACTTTCTTAGTACGAGTGGGTATCCGACTAAATCCATCAACAAACGTAAGTGGAATATAAATAGGACCCGAGGTAACAGCTGTTCCAAATATTTTACTGTTCTTGAAATCACAATTCATAAGTGTTGCTACTGAGAGAACAGTAACGCAAAGGTTAAGGAAAGCGATTCAGAAAACATTTAATGCGGCCAATCTGAATCCATTTTTTTTACAATCGTCCAATAATGAGAACCGTCATTAAAAATGGATTGCCTGAATTCGGTATATCCATGTGTACTTATCATTTTAACTGCTTCTGCGGAACCAGTTATATAGAACGCACAATTCGATAAGTCCCTCTTCGTATAGCAGAACACCATCCGTTTTTCTTTAGCAAATGACAAGTAAGAGTAATTAAAAGTTTTTTTCTTGTTCACTTGGTGGACACAGGGCATCACCGTATGATTTACGAGTTTTTCTTCTGCATACTGTTGAAGCTATTGGAATCTATGTTCACAAACCTAACCTTTGCATTCCAAAGAAGTTTGTACCACCACCCTCTCTACCCCAACCACAGATATATAATTATATTTTAGCTGAACTTCATTCTTTCAAAAGATGTTCGAACAGTTCTTGGATTTTTTCACTTTCGCTTACTTTTAAATATTATTAATATCCGTCACTTGATTCTCACATAGCTACCATAAAACTTAATTTTTATCAAAATATTTTTCTAATTCTGTCATTGAATATTACACAGTCCTATAGCTTTTTCTTAACGTTTAAAAATAATTACTTTCACCATAATAACGCTCTTTCTTCCAATTACTCAATCAATAAATTGATATAATTTTATGGTCGATTTAAAGTTATATAATTATTATGTTACACGACTATTCGATTGGTATTGTTTTTTTGTAGTTGTAAATCATATATATATTGGCATAGAGCAGTGGTTGGATAAGTTGTGAGATTATTGTTGGTGCATAATAAAGTTTTAATCCATAGTCTTACCCTCTCCCTTACATCAACCCATATCGTTTTTTGTTCATAAGTCATGTGTGTTAGCGGGACATAGATTGGATTAAAGCATGTTTCATGCATGATGGTGTTGCTGCGCGCTGATTGGCTAATTCTAAACCGATCAGCCCGGGCATATTATTGCAGAAAAATCTATAAGCTTCTTATGTATATACTATAAATATATGAACGTCATTCAAACTAGTGATTGCTGTTCACTTATCATTATTGTTTTGAATACAATTTCATTCCTGTTCAAAGTGTTCTGATTTTGGGGTCTTGTCGAGTGTCATCGTATAAGAATACTAAGCAATAGGAATAGCTGGGTCATATATATAGCAAAATACAATTATAACACCATGGTTAGACCTGATAGTTTCAAATAAATTGATCATTAGGTAGAATGTTATTTTATTATTGACGATCTTTTCTTGGTTATAAAAGTTATCCATGCAAGTATTTCTCCAAGTTACAATAGGAAGTCACTGAAGCACAGCTTCATTCATTCATGCTACCAAGTTGCAGTATTTATTTAGACAAACGTTTAACTATCAATTCACTCATACCACTTAACTCATGTGATATTACATCTTACATGTCTTCTTTATCACTAGATTTAAATGTCTTCTTTTTATACAAATAGGATATTTAAGCGTATTATCATATAAACAACAGTATAACTTTAATTGTTTTTTGCAGATTGGACTATGTCGGAATATCATTACTTGTTATCGGATCATCTGTCCCATGGATTCATTATTCTTTCTATTGTTATAATTCATTCAAAATTGTTTATATTTTGGCTGTGCTGATACTTGGTGCATTTTGCGCTTTTGTATGTACGCAAGATTATTTTCTTAGCCCAACGTATCGTGCATCTAGAGCACGTAAGTTATGTGTGTATACTGTATCCGCGATTTAATTGTTTACTAGTTAAAATATCACGTACTGGTCAGTTTCAAGTCACTAGAGAAGAGTGACAAAACATACATGACAGTACTTTGTCACTTTTCTGCGGTGACATGAAGCCGTTAATTAATTCTCAGTTAAAGTTTGTTGCTACATTTCACTGTTCGGTCCAATCGGAATCGCAGGTAAATACTTTATGGTGTTATTAGTCAATGTTTAGAAACACTTCATGCGATAAAAGCCGGGGAAGGGAACAGCTTAATTTGAAGAGACCGCTTTCTTTTACTTCAAAGTATTTCCAACTAACTGGTTTATGAGCTATCTCAAAATAACGATATTCATCCTAGAGAGGCCGGAAAAAATATGATTGGTGCCCGAAATATTTAATTGTTTAATAATCAGGGGAAAATAATGCTAGTAGACTGTAAATATTTGTGACCAAATTAACAGGTAGCTGAATTACACAAATAAAACAATATAAAATAAATGTAAGTTAGAATAGTTCAAATTAATAGCTGGGATTGATAAATAGAAGTGAGGTTGTATTCTACTAAATTAATTACCAGCGAAAGTATTTGGTTTCTAAAACTCAATAATATCATCATAAGAAATTAGAACAATTGATGGAAGACTTAAAGAAGTAGGCTAACTTTCGAGTAAACCTCCAGAATCGATGTTGGCTGTATAGTGTTCAACGAGATCGAAGAAGTTGCTTTACGGGTTCTAAGACTCAGAGTTAAGTTTAGTTAACCTATTTATATCTATTCTTAAAGATTTTTCCTGAGTAATAATTAATTGATGATTTGGATCTGCAAACCAGATCATTTTTGATTGGATCAGTTCATAATGAAGAAAATTCTCTAAAGTTCACTAGAAATGAATTAATCAGATTTACTATTATTTTCATGAGTGCCAAACTGGATGTAAATTTCTTCCAATACGCTGGTAAAGAGTACAATTGTAGCTACATCTTTGACAGATTAAATTTTTTTAATGAAGTCATACCTACGAAATTCTTTGGTTTATTCGATACTCAACGCTTACCCATCACGTGCAATGATTTCGATATTTTAACAGCGAGCAATATGTCAACACACTTTAGTTAACTAATGCTAATCCTAGGAAGTCCTCAGATATATTATCTTGATAAATATTGGTTGTCGATGATATTTAGGAAATCCGAAATAGTTAAACATCTTACTGTTCAAAGACAAGTTTAGGATAAAGTGTTTATTTTTAGAGTATATACTTTTTTGTGTATAATTTTAGTTGCACGGATTAGTCATTTACACATGGCCATACCAAATTACTTTATATTCAAATTTTACTGTTTCAATGTTCAAAAATATTTTAACAAATTGTGTGTACCTTTAAAATTCGATTTATTTACTTTCACCTTAGATCACCTTTATTCACACTTTTACTTTTTGTCAGTGAGACTGCGTAACCATGGTGATCGTCACTTTGTAATTACACATTACGGGGAATAAAAACTAAGTTATGATTGCCATGCGTTTATTTTGTTCAATATTCATACCTTGTTTCTGTTTAGTTGATTAATTGATCGTTTTCAATTTCAGTTTTGTTTACTGCTTTTGGTTTATCTGGAGTGGTTCCTTGTGTACATTATATTCTAATTGAAGATCTTCAGGAGCGTGCCCATTATTCTGCACTTGGATGGCTAATTCTAATGGCTGCACTTTATATATCAGGAGCTACCATTTATGCACTTCGTATACCTGAGCGTCTTTATCCTGGTAAATTTGATATTTGGGTAAGTTGTTTCATTTTGATTTGTCGATTGCATTCCCGTTCAAAATAAACTAGTTCAAAAACATTAACATAACTCATCCATAAATACAAATCTTTACACCTGGCTTTTGATCGACATTGTAAGTTTATAGTCCAATGATATTATTCACATTTTGCCTTCCACTGGTTTAATTATTAAGTATTCGGGGTATTTTTAATTGTCTATTTCATTTGAGTTTTTGGAAAACGTTATTGGGGAACTGAAGGTTTGGATTAAGACAGATTTTGACACCAATAAGAAGCTAGTAGAAAGAAAATGTAAAGGGCACATTCTATGTATTATAAGTTTCCCATTAGTGCAAATAACTCTAATGTATTCTGATTCACGCTGTTAGATACAAACTACGTTGTTGGTGTTTCCTCAATAACTGCGATCAGCGGTTGGAAATTTTAGGTGATATGTCATTTAGTCAGCTACAACGTAAGACCAGGCACATATATTCATCGGTCCAAGTTGCCACATCTCATTAGCATAACAAAATGAACACCATATTCATAGAATTAGTAACTTCAACGTTAGTAATATGTAGAAGGGAGATTGTATATAAGGATATAATACAGGAAGAAACAATTAGTTCGTAGTAATAAAAGTATAAAGTAATTTTAATCTCACGGTTCCAGGAAAGACAAAAAGTGTTTATACCTACGCGCATATATATATTTTCTGCCCCCTTGTACCAATATTTATGTGTTCAAATAAATAAATACGCCATTGTGATCGATTCTGAGCTATGTCACCCTGAGTCTCCAACCATTGGTTACGATAGTCACGCGCACCCTAACCAAGTAGTCTGCATCCACTAACATGGTTCAGACCAGAAGTTAGCGACTTCAAGGACTGATGCTACGTTTCGGTTTGATTACCCCTAGCTTTCTTCCGAACATCCTCAACACTAGTCAGCTTTGCGCACCATGATAATCGATGTTCAGGCATACGTGACACGTGGCCCAACTCTCTCAGTCGATGAAGATTTACAACCTCATTAACTGATTTACCAACATTCCCTAATACCCTGTGTCCAACCTAATTATCACTTACTCGGTAATCCCAGCAGATAAGAACAATATCTCCAAGACATCTGTCACCAAATACTAGTAACTTCCGAGTATCCTCCCGCCTGTAGCCCCTTCAGCGGCTACTGCCGGTCCCAAGCCCGGATAACGGGGGAGGGTTGGGCATAGTTGTGAATGTGTACTACTTTAAAGTTGGTTCCAAAGTAGGACAAAGCATTTCCCTGGTTTTCATTAGCTTTGACAGCTGATTTTAGTTTAAAGTGGAAAATATGTTGGAGTTCTTAGTATTGGTTACTAATTGTAACTTTAAGTTAATAATATCACTAAGACTATGGCCTATATCGTGAAAGATTAGTTGTTTCCTTTTTATGTACGTACTGCGGCAGCCTGAATATATTTTTACTTTGACAGTCTAAATAATTTCAATTAGATAACAGTATCCATTTTCTCTTTAGGTATTGAGAGATGTTTGAGCTAAAAGCTTTTTGAAATCAACTGTTAAGTTACCTACATCAAGGGTGTGGTGGACTACTTTAGTAAATTTATTTAACTAGAGTAGTTTGACTGTCTAATAACTGTGTTAGGATTTACATTAAGCTTGGATAGTTCGAGCACATCTTAGATGTTCTATATTAACACCTTTACTATCGTAAACTTCGCTGTCCGGTGTGATGTGACTGAATGTAAAAAGTGTTAGCTAACCTAAATATGGAGTAGTTCATTTGTCTGTTGAAACCACTGATTATCTGTTTGAACTGTATAAAAAGATACAGATTCACGTTTTACTGCACATTGTATTTATTTTCCAAAGCCTAATATTAGTAATTCCTCTGAACTTACTACTTCAAATAGTGTCGTCGAATATGTCGTATAGTGTATTTGATTCCAGTTACTCTAAATTAACCCTTGTAATGTAAAAGAGCATATAGAGTTTCATTTTACTTCATTGTTAATAATCTTCATATTCAAACATGTCACTTCAATTTCATTAGAGCAAATGATAAATAAAGCAAAGCACTATAACGTTTTGATCAGATTTTGTGTGGATTATTGTAGAGCTATTGAGTTATTCAGGCACATTCCTTCGGAATAGATCTTTAATTTCTAGACGGACTATTAAGTCGAATATGCAGCTCGTAAATAATCTGTTTGTAATTTATATCTATATTAAGTCGGTTTCCAGAGAACTCCAACAGAGCCTCCAGAGGCTCAAAAAGAGCTCCAACCAATCAGAGCACGACAGAACATTCTGGAGTTCCAACGTGGCACGCTATCATTGGTCAGTAGCAATTTATGTCGTTAAGTGGATTGGCTGAATTAGGATGTTGATTTAACTTAAGCAAACATCTATAAATACCTACGATTTTCTGTACAAAGATGAACCTTGCAATAAAGCATCTTCTCGCTACTCGTGTCTTCTCTCTGGTCTTCAAGTTGCTGAGTAGTGCTAGCCTGGGGTTGTCCGAATAGCTTAGGATCTGAATATAGCGTTCAACCCACAAGACATATCAATCTATAGCAATTATTTCAAGATAGTACCTTTCTTAACGTGGTCGGCGGCCTATTAGAATATGAACAGGAAGATGAAAACATGGACAGGACTATTTGAAACTTAGTTGGTAGATTTTCTCAAGAAAGCGTTTATTGTAAATGAATCTGTAATATCAAACTTTGAAAGTATGATATCCTAGCCAGTAACTGTCAGGTTCATTACTGATTTCTTATTTAGGAAAATATTTTTGTCGTTTTGAATAATATTTCACCCGCTTGTAGCTAATACCTTGGGATGATGATCCAGTATATCGATTGGAACATGTATTTCTTAAGGTCTTAACACGTCAGGCGGGTTGTTTAAAAGGCTATAGGAACAAAAGCATGGAATCAATGATCAGAGGGCAAAGTCGCACTGCCGACTATACAGAGGCTGATGTGAGTTTTTTTTGTTTTCTTCAGACAACCTATATCTGCAAAGATTCTGGCTTCTACAACAGTAGTGGGAGGGGGGGGGTTAAAAAAGATTGGTTACAAAAATAACACCCCAACTTACCCAAAGACTCCGCTTTTCAGCTTTAAGGACTTCAAAGTATGAGGTTAGCACACCAGAAACTACTTACGAAACGTCTGTGTGCAACTGGCCTCAGTCAATTGTCCCTTGGACAATGGGATCACTCCTTAGGTCTTAAATACCATCGCCAGTCCACTTTCCTGTTCAGATTTCCGAAAAAGAGGGATCTTATGGTGTAAGTAACCGGGGAGCGACAACTATCCTCATATCTTTAACAGCACTTTTGGTGACTGACTGTCATGTATCACCTTTTTCAAGTTTTCTTAATTATGTATTAGTATTACTCATGCTGTTGTTTTCATTATAGTATCAGTTTTAAAAGTTTCATTCTTCAATCTTTCTCGTTATATTTATTGTGTGTTTTCAGTTCCAAAGTCATCAAATATTTCATGTATTTGTTGTATTGGCTGCCTTAGTACACTTGAATGCTATTATGGAAATCGCTCAGCATCGACTAAGCAAAGGCAGTTGCGATTATAAACTGTAAATGTACTAAAATATCCTCTCTCTCTTTTATCCATTTCATTTTTATGAATATTCTTACTTGTTCAGGACATTATCTACCATAATAGCACTGTGTTTATTATTCATGTGGGATATAATATGATCACGACTGTACAGAAATGTAAATTTGTAATTGTTTTTCTGCCTCGGATATAATAATCAAATATTCAATGGTTTCTTTAGACTTTCTTATATTTTATCATGAATCATTTCATTCCAATGGTATTTTCAGAAATTATCAAAGAATTTATTTCTTGTCACTTTCTCTCCATTTCTGACATTATATGTACAATACCTATGTGTATTTATTCTAATGTAACCAATAAGTATATCTTGATACTTATTTATGCATATGACTGCATGTTTGAATGCACTTGTGCACGTATGTAAACAGTGTTATTTTCTCTGTTATTGTTTGCGGTTGTTTCTCTTTTTAGCAAGGAACAGGTAATTGTTCTTATTTTAGAATGTATTAGTTTAGTATTTTGCCTTTTATTTTCAATAAAAAATAAACTGTTTTGTTTTTGTTCTCATGAATATCCACCTTAATGAATAAGCGACCGTGAAATTATTAGTGCTAGGGGAAAAACGAACTAATGTTTCATTCACTAAATATTCTTTATACTGAATTCATTTAGTATTGTTTGTTTAAATCTTCCCATCGATGTGTTAGGACTGCAACTGGTCAGTCTCTAATTGGCATATGTGCATACTGTGCGTATTGCCTCGATATAGACTTAATTCACAAACATTATAAGCAGAGATGGATAGTGGCTAGCAGTAGAATCCAGTTTGATGTGCAATTCGTCCAATTTGGGACTCGTCAGCTGAATGTACCTCCATCTCAGAGTTGATGTTCACTCTGGGACTCGAACCCAGTTCCCTCGGCCACTGAGTCCTGATAGCCACTTGCATGTGCGATGGGGTGGCCGAGTGGATAACGCGATGGCGTTTGAAGCGAGGGAACTGGGTTCGAGTTCCAAAGTGAACATCAACTCTGAGATGGAGGTACATTCAGCTGACGAGTCCCACATTGGACGAATTGCACATCAAACTGGATTCCACTGCTATCCACTATCCATCTTTGCTTACCATTCTTTATAATAATAATAATAGTTGTTACTACGTTGGGATAAATTGTTCTACTTTCTTAATATTAGGACGTTCGTATGTAGTACTTTCGAGAAATAATAGAATTTCGGGAAGTCAGTCAGTCACAACATAGAACTTCGTACGTACGTACATCAATTAGAGCTGCCATACCATATTAGCAGAATTTTGGGAACATTCTTTATATATCAGCCAAATTAGTGGCACTGTACTTTTAATGCTTCTAATTATCATCTGCACATATTTATGAATTTGTGCCTTTTGAAGAAACTATTAAAGATCCACTATTATGTACTGCTTGTTTATGCTTGTTTATTGCCGCTAAAAATATATCATATCACCCAAAATTTCATTATATCAAGCTATTCTTAAAAGTTTGTTTTAAGAATGTATCATTTATGTAATTAGCTCATATTTGTATTAGATAGATTACAACGATAAACAGAACAAGATTCATTTCATTTACTTCTCATGACGTAAAAAACATCCTTCGTAAATTGAATCAGTCCACTCGTTCTGACCGATAATTAACAGAAAGTAAATTTCCTTAAGAACGGAAATCAACTAAAGAACACAGTTGGAGATCATGGAACATTGAACAATGAACATCCATGATTCTATAAGCTATTAAACAAAGGACGTTCAGGTTTCACAAACTAATTCGAATTCACAATGTTAATTGATTTCAAACTGTATGAAATCTTCATAGATCTACCTTGGTAAATATGAACTATATGCTCATTAGTGACCAAATTTGAAAATAATTGAGTTAAGTTGTAACCTGTGTGCTTCTAACTAAGTAACTCACTGATAATATTAAACAAGGATCAATCTATATGTGATATATATATATATATATATATGATTAAGATTAAAGCTGGAAATATATTTCATTAGATGTTCACTCAGTAGCTGTATGATATTTTTCTGAATGCGAGATTTGAAAGTTCCAGATACTATTTCCCAGTTTTCAGTGTCTTACTGACATTTACTACAGACGACTTCACAAGTATGATGCATATTGCTTTCTACTTTTGAGTGGACTTTCATTTGCGAATTCGGTTGGCGATGAGTATTGCACATGCTGATAGTACTGTAGTGGACGAAAATGGAAAATGAAATAATTTATTGTGTAATAGAATGCACTAGTCAATTAGAATATTTTTGGTTGACACAACATTGTCTTCTCATCTGGCGACTTTGGGAATCAACATGAAACCTGGGTCTATGGATTTCATTTAAGGGTGTCCAACTATCTAACAAGATTGGTTGATTACTTTATCTTACTTTGAAACTAGTAGACAACACACATCACTTTATTTATTACTGTACATCAAACGTACCAATCTAAGCAAGGAGTAATGATCAACTGCGAGGTTAGAAATATGAGTAAGAAAATAACCAGTGATAGTGTGATTACTAATAAAAGCTATTTCATTGCATTTTATGTCAACAGAGCAATATGACAAGCTCCTATAAAAAGCTTGAGTAACTAATTTCTTTAGAAGTTATGTCAAAGATAAAAATCACATAAAAACCACAAGTTACTGAGTATTCAGTTATTTCAATTTTGTAAATTTGAATTTCCACTTCTTTTCACCGAAATAATTCATGGGATATATTCTTCATTTTTGCTGCGGTTAAGTTTCTATTCGACTTTTAAAAGTCTCTGAAAGTGAGTCTACATGCATTTTATTTACTGAAATCAATCTTCTTTAAATTCACTTGTTATTGTTTACTTCAATCTTTCCATTGTTATTTAGAACTGCAGTTGATCAGTCTCTTGTTAGCATATGTGCATACTGTACGCATTGTCTCGATGTTGTATTAATTCACGAGTATTATAAACAAAGATGGATCCCACTGCTAGCCGAAGAACACATGGCGTCGGGAATCGGAAGCAGACATAGAAAGGATCGATAGCAACTGGAAAGAATTGCCCAGGACAAGGTTGTATGGAGAGTGCTGGTAGGTGGCCTACGCTTCTCCACGAGGGGTAACAGGCGTAAGTAAGTTTTTCACGGAACATTCATTTAGCTTTAACGTAGTCTTTTTTTACTAACTTATATTAACTAATAAAGAATCCTTGGTGTTTTTCGTTGTAGCAACTGGATTCCTCAGAAGAAGTCATTCAACGAATACTGTAGTGCATGCTACTACTACGAACAGATATAAGTAGTATGTATAAAGGATTTGAATGTAGTATTCTTACTGACGAAAGAGGAAAATATGGAGAAAAAAGCGAAAAGCCAAAGCAATTTAAGCGGTCACAGGAACGAAAGAACGATGGAGCTTGTAAATAACAATCCAATGAAGATGTACAAATGATTTAATGAATGTATCATTTTCACATTTTACAAATGTAGTGTACTTTCGTTTATCCTAACAAAGTTTTAGTACATTATATTATTAGTTCACGTATCAAAATATCTTCAAATAGTTTCACTGTTACTTGTATCAAGCATCACTGGATTATCCTATGATGTAAATGTTAAAAAGAATTAAACTCACATGATACTTAGCTTACTTTATTGATATGACAATTAACCATGAGAATAATTATTTTCTGTATCTTAGATATAAGAAATTCTTATTATCTAAATGAGTTCAATGTTTCATTAGTAATATTAAACAATGTTATCTTTTTCAAAAAAGGTATCGATTGATCTTACACTGTCATATATTCTCTTTTATTCCGATAGAATACTCTGACTAATTCACTAATTTTGTGAAGAAGAGTGTACTCACTATTTAAATTCTTATTGACGGTGTAAACTTTATCACTCGCCCTACCCTATTATACTATATGGTCAGAGAAGTAATACTGAACATTACTAAAATTATCAGTGTATCACAAATTCTGAAAACTGATCACTGGGTTTCTTCAAGATCAAAGATAGCCCGTGCTATAGAATGGGCACATGCATTATAATGTTCACCTTATGTACATCACCTTTCTTTAATTTGACCTGTTAAGTGTGTAACATTCTTTCTAATAAGATTTTAACTGTTCTTGAAGTATTTTAAAGTAGTAAGGCCTTGACACTAGGTTAAGGTGGATCAGGCTAAGAGTTCATTGGATGCCATGACATTGATGTAGGGCTATTTAAATTAGGCAGTTACATTCTTCTTGTTCAACTCCATCGAATGGGGACTGCAGATCAAACGAAACAAGTAACTGTATTATGTCGACCATAGTCCGATGTCTACAATATAATTCAACTAAAATTTCGTTTTAGCAATTAAGAATAATGGTGTTGAATATATTCTTCTGATACAAGTCATTTACTCTGTTCACACATTGTTACTTAAAATTGAATTTTATGTTTTTCAAATGACCTATCTGAGATTGACTGGCCCCCTAAATGACTGGCATATTTGTACCGATGGATCATTGAGTAGTGACCAATATCAAGGAGCAAAGGTTCCCTCAAGATTTTACGTACGCCTTGCTGATGAGTTGTTGGTAGAATCAACTATTAATGCAGACCCTTTTAATTAATTAGTGTTTATTAACTTGATATTGGTTCATTATTATTATTATTATATGACTTACATAATGTGCATATTCATTCTTGAAAACAGAATTACTTTACCAAGACTATTTATCGACAGAAAAAAATGATATAAAACTTTTATCGAACTAGGTGACCACAATTCCTTTTTAGGTGAAAAGTTCATTACTGTATTATATGAATTGAGAATCTTTAAAAATTGAGAAAATAAGGATATTATTTTGTTTAATTATAGAATTTACAGGTCATCGAATAAACAAAGGTTCGAACTTGTAGTCCCTAGTTAATAACTCAGACCATGAGTAAGAGACAAATTCGATAGAGTTTCTTATGCAAGATCAATGACTGTGATAGAAAGAAACTAGAATAGCATCAAACTTCAGTTTAGTTCCCTGGATGGTGCGCTATCGATAAAAATGAGAAAATTTGATTTGAAATATGAATGTGAATAAAGTTTACGTAATAAAATGTATGGTTTTGCAATAAATTTCCTAGCATTAGGTAGTTGGCAGGAAAATCTGTGGTTTTATAACGAATCTTCCATTATCACTTTGGATATCATCAATGGGAGCTTAGGAAATGCGATGCTATCAAAATTATCCACCACAGCTACAAAACTTCATCATTTTACAACAAACAAAACAATCTGTTATTGAAGTCACGAAATGGACAGGCGTTTATTCCTGGTGTGGGACTCTTCAGTGGTGTGCATTCGTGAACCCAGTGACGGGAATCAAACCCAGGATCTTCGGTCTCGTGCGCGAAAGCCTAACCTCTAGACCACTGAACCGACGTTTATTAGTGTACGGGTTTAACTTGTGCTAACTTGCATTATCATTCACTTATTGAGTTTAGACTTGTATAACATTGAGTGCTGGCTCAGTGGTCTAGAGATCAAGCTTTCATGCGTGAGGTTGAAATCCCTAGGTTCGATTCTCGCCCGGAGGGTTGTTGATACCAAGTTCTAAGACACCACGTAATGGGAAGAAACTGCCGTCAAATACTTTCAGGTATCCAATAGTTATTTGACTTTGATTAATTGGTGATTTCAATGAAATTCCACAACTCTGTACCGGCAATACTTATAGTAGCCCTCATACAATTGAGTTTGTTCATATCTAACTTGGTTAAGCCTTTTTGTTAACTTATTTAACGGACAGAGTTATTCGTACAAGGACAACCTATCTATACTGTTGTAACTTTATTATGTACGCTTGAGCAGTGCTTACTGCCTACTAATATATTCATTCTGCCAGCCTTAATATTAGTCACTTAATTGATTCGATGATTCGTTCATTTCACTATGTATTTATATGTACATCTTAATCCTGTTCACTGAGTCGCTGAAACGTTGACTCGCATACTCGCTCGCTCATTCGACCCACACGCTCACTCGCTTGCTTTCCGGCACTACTCTTTCATGCTTGCTTAACGTGTCTGTAATTTTGGATATCTGTGCGTGGTTCAATAATAAACGCAGCCAACACTTCGTATTCGCCTTCTGATTTATACACCGTTGGGGTGTTATAGAGTAACGGCTATCAGGACGAACAAATTACGAAGTTTAAGGATAGTATCGAATATAGACCACAACATACTCTTTGGTATCCAGCTAATTAAAATGGTGACCACGTAATAACACAGTTGATATAACTTGAGGAAAATCAAGGTATGTGTAAAATGACATTAGTTACTATTAACTAATTAGTAAATGTATTAAGTTTACACTCTAGATAGAAATCAGCAAGGTTACTCGATTTCAAAAACTATCGAAGTCTACAAATTAAACTTTATAAGATTAATTTCTAATTGGTCTGGATCATTCTATATGTACTGATTTAGAGTTAATCATGAACATGTAACAATACATAATCCTTTGTGAGGTGAATTAAATAAACCTGAATTTGTTATGACTTTATAAAAAATAAGACGTATGACAATTCGTTATTGACTTTATGTCCGGCCTTTATCACGTGAATTATCCACCAATCGAAATACGACTTCTTCGACCTTAACACTGTGCCAACCAATGACGTTCAACTTGTATGAGTAATCTAGCATCCTTATTGGTCCCTTGTCCACCTAGCCCTCCCACTTGAGTCCAGAACACCAATCGCAGCTTCTGTTATGCGAACCATTTATTTCAAGCATACTCTGTTTATATTCCAGACTGACAGATCACATGACACCATAAAATAGAAAATAATATTTGTACAAGATCAAGTCGAATATGGATGTGACGTGGGAGACAATAATCAATAAACTGAATATAATTTAGGGACAGTAAGTCGTACAGTAATAATTCATAGGTCAAAATGAAGCTTATAATAAGATGAATATAAATATACACAATCTAGTTACTCAATAGTTAAACAATAAGAATATATATAGAATAATAGTCCATTAATAGGTTCTGGGAGTTACCCATACTTATGTTTTCGCTAGGATATAACAGATTTACTGACATTTCCAATCGTAAAATATTTATGTTAGAGCTACTTTTTTTTTCAATATATGCAATATTAGACAGTCTATATTGTATATTGTACAATGTGATTCGTTTATTTTGAAAAAATTTGATTGTTAACCGTAACTGTCAAACTATGACAAGGTTCTGTATACTATTTGTCTATGGGGTGACTATAATTTTGTCATCAATTGTATTTATTCTAAGATTAACTTTAAAGTTGTTTCTCTTTTCAGTTCACACTTCATTTGGTTTAGTTTTCTTCTATCAAATTTAGTGAAAATTAGAATAAGACTTAATATTTCAACAGTTTTACATGTTTATCCGTCATAGTTTATCCATTTATACTGTAACAAACGAACAAACTAATTTATTGAAATTTTTATCTCGACAACAGAACACCTAGATTTATTGAATAAAATGAGTTTATTATTCTTTTCTGACATTTTGTATTAGCTATAAAACTTTTAAAAAGTTACGATCACAAATGAAGATCTGTTATGGTCTTTTGAATGAGATTGTGATGAAAATTGTAAATGATGACACACAAATAAAAAGAATGGAACGATAAGTTAGATAGGTCGTATAGGAAGTCAACTGAAAAACATGAACTTAAGGTGCATTCCAGTTGGAACTTTACAGTAAGTTATACCAAAAATCCTCAGGGAACTGATAAACATCAGTGGATTCGAACCATGGTTACTCATTTCCATAGTTTGATACATTTCCACTTAACTACCTGGGGAGGGACTGCCTTTCTATAAGTCTGAGATATTAACATCGTCTGATCATT